GTCCTTTGAGCTGGAAAAAAAGGAATAAAACCAAACTAGTTACATTATGAAGGATTATTATATTTTGTTATCATCTTTATTGAATGGGAATTATGTCTTAAAAATCACATCGTCTAAATGCTATCCATTACGATCACGGCACTCATATAAACGACGTCTAAAATTGTCGATGACTGCGCGGCAAGTCAACACTGTAATGCTTGCCATTTCTCTTCGGATATTTTCTTTCAGGACATCAACTGATCGCGGAGTGGTGTCGTACACTTTACTCTTGAGGTAGCCCCATAAAAAGATAGTCCATTGGGGTCAAATCTGGACCACGTGGTGGCCAGGAAATGTCTCCTCTTCGAGAAATTACTTTGCTGGAAAAAAGTTGACAGACGACGGGCATAGAAGTGTTGGAGGTGTGGGCAGTTGCTCCGTCCTGTTGAAACCAGGTCTGCGTATTATAGCCTGGAAAATTCTGCAACGCTGGTGTCAAAAACTCTTCTATCATTGCTACATACCGCTCCGAAGTAACAGTTAATGCGCGACCTCTGTCGTCCTCAAAAAAATAAGGGCCTACGATGCCATGCGCTGACATAGCAGCCCAAACTGTAACTTTAGGGCTGTGTAAGGGCTTCTGATGCTTACGCCTTGGATTTTCTGGGCTCCAATAACGGCAATTTTGTTTATTTACATGCCCGTTTAAATGGAAGTGAGCCTCGTCCGAGAACAACACATTATTGAGCGAAGAAAATCGATTCAACATTTCATTCGCAAAGTTTAGTCTCTGAATAGCGTCATTATCTTTTAATTCCTGCACTAACTGAATTTTGTAAGCGTGCAGACGTAAATCTTTCCTTAAAATCCGCTGTAAAGATATTCTGGGTACGTTTAGTGTACTGGAACGCTTACGAGTAGACTGGGTAGGATTTTGACGAACAGACTGTGCCACAATGTTGATGTTTTCTTCAATACGAGTTATCCTTGGTCGACCCCACCGCTGTTTATCTAACGTCGAACCAGTCTCTTCGAACTTAGCAACCCAGTTCTTAATCGTTTGAGCTGTTGGACACTTTGTAAAATTGTGTAAATTGTGGTATTATCGATATTTACGCCGCGCAATGGTTGCCGAATCATTATTTTGATAAAACGCGCGCACACAAAAAGCACGATCCGCTCCAGTGAAACACTCCATGGCGACTGAATTCCCAGACACTGAAGATACTGCCCCCACCTCGCCCGCGCCGCTCACGCTCACCCGTTAAATTTTATTCAAATTTGAAATTTCAAAGGACTTATGGACCACCCTGTACATTAAAAATTCTAGAAGAGAGTCACCGTTAGTTTTACTTAAATGCTTTGTATAATTTTATAATTATTTAAGAGGACATCTAGAAATTTTGACCACAGCATTACAGGAATTCCCAATCCATTGAAACAAATAAAAACTGCAGGGTCTGGCCCAAAGCAAATAGAGCCACGAGACGCGTAAACTTAAGGGAGGACGGTACGCTGACGACACTCCTTGAGATGGGACAAGGGCACGTAATTAACCAATAGAGTGCAAGGCCATTTTGAGTTCAAAAATTAAGTCTAACAATCGTTGGCCAAGTTAGTTTCCATCTTTAGAGAATCACAACACGGCCTTTGCAAGGGTTGCAAACTGATCGACCAATGAGGAGACAAGGGTTGAACTCACTAAGAAAAGTGACCCGCCTTCTGATGGAGGAGAATATCCGCAACTGACCTCCGATAAATTTGAAACTAAAGACTTTGTACGGTTGAAAAAGTTGCTTCGATTTTTCCTCAGTTAGTGGCTGTTAATAAGTGTTGCGTTGGTACGTTGGTAGAATTTAAATTGTGTTCTCATCAGTAAGCACTTCCAGTTACTTAAAAGGGGGCTTTTCCCTTCTTTATTAGCCCTTCTGACAAACTCTAAATTAACACCGAATCAACCAAGGATTCTATGCATTAGCTTGATTAATTAACAGTGTAAAGTTGAGATTCTTGAGTTTAATTTTGATATTAGGCTCAAACTTGAATTTGTTGTAAATTATAGTAAGTGACATATAAATCCGAACACCCAGTTTAAATGGTTTTATTTTAATAAAAGTTGGTGAATGTATTTATATTACTGTAAATAATAAGTGAAAAAATTTTTAGCCTTATCAGTTGGACATTCCGGTTTTTATACTTTTTTTTAATTATTTCAGCCGCAGTAAAGAATCAACGTTGGCGGATTATGGTTCTTGACATCCTTTACGATCGGTTACGATGCCTAGAGTACGGAGACCTGTACGATTTCGTCAACTTAGTGAGTTTGATAGGGGCCGTATAGTGGGACTTCGGGAAGCTGGACTTTCTTTTCGGGCAATTGCAGTTAGAGTGCAAAGAAGTGTAGACACTGTGGTTAGGTGTCGGGCATGGCTTCGAGAAGGTCATACGCAAAGAGCAAGGGGCACTGGACGCCGCCGTAGAACAACAGACCGTGAAGATCGCCGCCTAAGATTATTGGCCTTAAGGGACCGTTTCTCCACTACCAGGTCCATTGCAAATTAATGGTTTACAGAACATGGAAGACCTATTGGCATGCGAAGTGTTTACCGATGAATGAGAAGTTTTGGCTTGTTTTCATACCGGCCACACTGGGTCCTCCCTTTAACTCGAGAACATCGACGTAATCGCCTTGAGTGGTGCAGACAACGGTCACTCTGGGATCAGGAATGGAACAGTATTGTTTTTAGTGACGAGTCTCGATTTTGTTTAGGTATGCACAGTTTTTTGTTGAAAGACATGTTCATCACACTGTTGGAGTTATGGTTTGGGGTGCTATAGCTTATGGTTCCAGGTCACCTTTAATCTTCATCAGAGGTAACATGAACGCGCAGCGTTATATCCACGAAGTTCTAGAACCCCATCTTTTATCCTATCTTGACACCCTGGCAGATCTAACTTTCCAACAAGATAATGCCCGACCACTTGTTGCAAGAGTCACAATAGACTTCTTTCAACATAATGATGTCACATTGTTACCATGGCCACCAAGATCTCCCGACTTATCCCCAATTGAGCACCTGTGGGATATGATGGGTAGGAGATTGCTCAATTTGCAACGTCCTCCTCAGACTCTAGAAGCACTTCGAGAGGAGTTGGTGGTTGCCTGGAATGAGATACCACAGGAGGACATTGACCACCTGATGAGAAGCATGCCTAGGCGCGTTGGAGAATGCGTAGCACATCAGGGTGCACCACACATTATTAAAGGTCAAAGGGCTTTAAAGCAGTGCAATGATTTTGAAATTTTTATCCTTTACTTATTATTCTTCATTAATTACTTATACAAAATTTTATTAAAATAAAACCATTTAAACTGGGTGTTTGGATTTATATGTCACTTAGTATAGTTGTCACCGTTGCTTTAAACTTAGTCGTAATCCACTCCTCCAGTGATCCTTTCCCTAGTCTATTAGTTTTACATCATTAACTGTTCTTTGTCATTGCTTTTTCACTCTTCACGAGTGTATAGATATTTCGAGTCTGTAATTCAATTATTAATAAAAATTAGCCTCCTCTAACTTGAGTTTCATTAATTTCAGTAACTGAAGCTAACTGTTTACCACGTTCTCTGGATTACTTGAAGAACTGAAGAGGCAACGTTCTGCGCAAAGTGGGTGTTTCAATGAGTCAAGATTATACTAATTTATGTCAGGTTCTACCTCCTATAGGAAGACAAGTAAAAGGTAACAGAATTTGAAATTCGAGGGGTCTCGGGCCAGTCCATAAATTGAAGCATTGGACTGGAGATCCGAACTATTCAGGGTGACTTTGACGTTGAGTCATTAATTTTCAGATAATGATTGTAGAAGGAAGATAAACCAAAATATGTGTGTAAAAATAAAAAAAAAATAAAAAAAAATTTTACCTTGTTTTATAAAGTATCATCCCGACAAGTATTTCAGTGCGGACCTGTATTTGATCGTGAGGTCTTGGAGCACCGGCATGACGTCCATATGTGAGGTCTTAAGTCAAATGATTCACGAACCCGTTGTACTACATTAACAAAGGCACGAGGGGTTGGTTGCACTCGATTGGGAAACCGATCCGCATAAACATGTGCCATTTTTTATTTCGTTTGAGCCACGCAACAGACACCACTATCCACTACCGACTGACACTGACTCTATACAACTGAATGAAATAATTGTAAAAACATCGTTCCAAATTCTTTCGCTTTTTTGTTTCCGATGCGATGAACCGATAAGGCGAATTATATCCGTTGTCGCCAAACACGAGCACATAATATTATTATTGAGACAGGACGGTACTCAAACTTCCAAAGGGCTATAACTTTGTTACTTTAATTTTACCAGAAAAATGGTAAAGGAAAAAAACATTTCTTTTGATCAGATCTACTCACTGTTAAAATAAATGACTCAACTTCGAAGTATATTCAAGGCACTACATTGACAGGTCCGGGAGTCTCGGACGAAGATCCTGTTACATAAGCTAGGTAAGTAAAAGCCTGGCAGAAATTAGAAATGCCATGAAGGGTAACGTATTCTATAATTACGTTACAAAACGTGTTTATACAGGAAAATCAGAATAGAAGATGTAATGACATCATGAACAATAACCATTATGTTGTCTCTTGGTACAATAACCTTGGATAGGCTTAGCTTGACTAATTGAATGCGTCTATTCTCTAAAAAAGGCTTTTCTGATATGATTAAAATACAATACACACGGAAAGTTTTCGAAGAACATTTAAATACATCATACACAAATATCTAACATCCTACCCCATACCAACATTGTATAAACATCCTGACTGACATATTGATCTCCATTTAACAGAAAAAGACAATGGAAGAAATTCAAAAACATACAGTTTGACGTTATTCTTATTATTACAATGCATAATGATACGGATTTATCTGCAATGTCACCTTTTCAAGTACGCTTCGATTTCAATATAATACACACTTGATTACTTGATTTACGTATGGAAAACTTACCTCCTTTAAATAACGCAGTCCAAGGGGCAACAAATTGTTTGGTGTGAGGCGGAATAATTCCAAGTAGAGATGTCTTGTGAAGCATAGTAGAAATTCTGCTAGCTTGAACTGATACCAAGTTTCCTCCTATACCGTTGATGATCGGTTGGAATACTGCGTAGCCTTTGAATTGTTCCACGGCCAGGTCCAATACCAAACCTCCAGATCTAATGGACAATGTTTCATGTAAATAGGAGCTACAAGACGTTCAATAAATTTTGAAATTTTTTCAGAATGGCCCAAGCTAGGTTAAGGTATTTCATAGGGAAGTAGGATTAAAAAAACAGGAAAATTCCATATAGACATAAGTTCCAAGATGACCCCTTACCGAGATCAGATCAGTATTTTCAAAAACACAATTTACACAATTTAATTTTTTCAGGAGACATTCACAAATAAACCAGCTTTGGCCTGTATATAGTATTTACGTTTTGAAAGATCGAAATGACGAATAACCTTCACATTTTATTAGTAAAGGGTGTCTCAAAATTAACGCAAGTTTTGAATTAAATAGAAAACACAGTTTTGAGACTTTAGATTGTTATTTTTTATTGAACCATAGAAGTGCTTAGGGTACTGTTGCGTCTTGTAGAACTTCGGATTTCACTGTTTTTTTACTTACTTATGGAGGGTAGTCTGATAAATTATTTTACAAAGTTTTAAAAAGTGTGGATGAAGCACGCTTTTCACGAATTTTTTTTCCAAAGCACGGTATTTTTCAGCGGTTATTTTCCCCATTATTTCCACCGCCATCTACCATATGAACCGACGTCTCTGGATATGTCATATATGAGAGGCGCTTGCCTGCGGTGTTGCCGGATTGGGCTCCGTATTTAGGGAAAAGTTTTATTTCAATGTATGGCCATGCACTGATGATACACGGCCGATAGCTTCCATCGATATATCACTTGCATGGAAGTTACAAAGTCACAATTTTTCCTTTATTGAATTGTATAATTTATTCGACAAAAATTGGTCTTTTTAATATGCATGGTTGTTAGTTATCTTCTTTAAAATATAGTGGACATCCTTTTGCGTAATGAAATTTGATACACCCTATCGAAAGCTAGTTTTCTGTATGAGTGCAGTTGAGGTGTTACATTCTGTATGTACCATCTTTTCTGAGTAAGCATAGAAATGATGATCCATTGACTTACATTTATAGACAGTTTATAGTTCATTTGTTTGTGTACGCTCTGATCTAGAAATTTGCAATTATTTTTTGGATCAGGCTAAAGATGAGACCTTGGAATATGCTTGGAGCTCAAAAATAAATAAGCTACGGCGGTGACTCACCCACTGATGAATAGAGCTGAAATAACGGGTGTCCAACCATGTGTCAATACATTCCTAGTGTAATGATTCTTCCTTACAATCAGTATCCAAAGTGGTAAGAGCAGAAGTACATAGACAGCCAAAATTAAAGCCATTAACCAAGGGTAACTGTCTGTAATGAAGAAAGGATAGTCAAGGAATAAAGTAATAACTTCACCAGTTTCAATTAAAATTATACAGTGAAGTGTGGGCTATTTAATGAAGTGGTACTATTGAGCGAAATACCATTTCAAACAATTTTATGAGGAAGAATTTGAACATATACTAAGTGACATATAAATCCGAACACCCAGTTTAAATGGTTTTATTTTAATAAAATTTTGTATAAGTACTTAATGAAGCATAATAAGTAAATGATAAAAATTTCAAAATGATTGCACTGCTTTAAAGCCCTTTGACCTTTAATAATGTGTGGATGCACCCTGATGTGCTACGCATTCTCCAACGCGCCTAGGCATGCTTCTGATCAGGTGGTCAATGTCCTCCTGTTGTATCTCATTCCAGGCAACCACCAACTCCTCTCGAAGTGCTTCTAGAGTCTGAGGAGGACATTGCAAATTGATCAATCTCCTACCCATCATATCCCACACGTGCTCAATTGGGGATAAGTCGGGAGATCTTGGTGGCCATGGTATCAATGTGACATCATTATGTTGAAAGAAGTCTATTGTGACTCTTGCAACATGTGGTCGGGCATTATCTTGTTGGAAAGTTGGATCAGCCAGGGTAAAAGATGGGGTTCTAGAACTTCGTGGATATAACGCTGCGCGTTCATGTTACCTCTGATGAAGATTAAAGGTGACCTGGAACCATAAGCTATAGCACCCCAAACCATAACTCCAACAGTGTGATGAACATGTCTTTCAACAAAAAACTGTGGATTCCTCCTTTCACCACGTCGCCTTCTAACCCTGGCACGACCATCGTGCATGCCTAAACAAAATCGAGACTCGTCACTAAAGACAATACTGTTCCATTCCTGATCCCAGAGTAACCGTTGTCTACACCACTCAAGGCGATTACGTCGGTGTTCTCGAGTTAAAGGCAGGACCCAGTGTGGCCGGTATGAAAACAAGTCAAAACTTCTCATTCGTCGGTAAACACTTCGCATGCCAATAGGTCTTCCGAGTTCTGCAAACCATTCATTTGCAATGGACCTGGTAGTGGAGAAACGGTCCCTTAAGGCCAATGATCTTAGGCGGCGATCTTCACGGTCTGTTGTTCTACGGCGGCGTCCAGTGCCCCTTGCTCTTTGCGTACGGCCTTCTCGAAGCCATGCCTGACAACACCTAACCACAGTGTCTACACTTCTTTGCACTCTAACTGCAATTGCCCGAAAACATAGTCCAGCTTCCCGAAGTCCCACTATACGGCCCCTATCAAACTCACTAAGTTGACGAAATCGTACAGGTCTCCGTACTCTAGCCATCGTAACCGATCGTAAAGGATGTCAAGAACCAATATCCGCCAACGTTGATTCTTTACTGCGGCTGAAATATTCATTTTTAGAGCGTTAGTGAATTAAAAAAAGAGCAGTATAAAAACCGGAATGTCCAACTGATAAGGCTGAACATTTTTTCACTTGTTATTTACAGTAAGATAAATACATTCACCAACTTTTATTAAAATAAAATCATTTAAATTGGGTGTTCGGATTTATATGTCAGTTAGTATATGGTATATGGCTTAAATTTTTTAGAAAAAAAATATTTCAATTTTTCACTCCCAAAAAAAAATATTTTCAATTATATACAGGGTCCTTAAGGTAGGGACTTTCCTTTATCGAGCGTCTAGGTCAGGGAACAATATACATTTTTCCTAATAACACATACAGCAAAGCTTCAAAATAACCGAGATATTAAGTTTCGATAATCTTGGAAAGTGCCATTCCCAACCGTGTATCCTACGTCATAAGGTATGAAGTTTTGTGATAGGACTGAGTCAGCAACAAAATCAGGCGCCGCGTTGTGTGTAGGTTAACCCAGCTTAATTAGAATCGAATTTGAAAAACTGAAATTGGCACGAATTTATTTAAATGTTTATGGTGACTATGTTGGAAAACGAAATGTTCATACTTTAGTTTGTGAATATAATTTATGTTAATATTTTCTCTGACTCCATTACAGAACATCGTAAGCATTTTCTAAATTTTAAAATATAAACGATTTTTTCTTAGAGACTCAACAATTGGTAGCGGAAATATGTCCATAAAATTTGATTTTGATTTTGAACACAATGCGAGCCGCGGTCTGGTGTGCTTGCGAACTTGCGCGACTGTGTAGTCTACTGACTCACGCAACAGAGGGTTGCTGTGCGATTCCGCTTGACTATAACGTAACTGCGCCTGTTGTTTGATCTAGTCCCTTAGGTAAGGGATATCGAGGTTTCTGTGTTGGAGACATACCATGGTGCGTTAGTGATGGTTCGCAAGGCTCTGCCCTGCAAAACTTGCTGATTCAATGGACAACAAATTTTAGTTTTTTAATTGTATCTTGTGGGAAAAGTGCACTTCCTTGTTAATTTTGGGGCGCTGAATCCAAAAATGACAATGAAATAAAAAAATTAGTTGCGGTTTAGAAAAAAATTTTTTTATTTTTAAGGATATATTAAAAAAAGTAACAAGATTCATATACTTATAAGAATCACTATATGCGCTGTCTTTTTGCTGTTCTTTTATGGATCATTTCTGGAGCATCTCTACCAAGAGTCCAACAGTAGTCTGCAAGCATGGAAGGATTCCACTTTCCCTTGTACCTTTTTTCCATTGTTGAAATATCCTGATGAAAACGTTCGCCGTGCTCATCACTTACGGCTCCGCAATTGTCAGGAAAAAAGTCTAGGTGTGAGTGTAGGAAATGTATCTTAAGAGACATATTACAGCCCATCTTGTGATACGATGACAGCATATTTTTGACAAGGGTTTTATAGTTGTCAGCTTTTCTATTTCCCAAGAAATTAGTGACCACCAGACGGAAATCATTCCAAGCAGTTTTTTCAATACCTGTTAAAGTGTTTTCAAACTGTGTATCTTTCAAAATATTTCGAATCTGTGGCCCAACAAAAATACCTTCTTTAACCTTTGCCTCACTTAGTCTTGGAAATTTCTGACGCAGGTATTGAAAAGCTGACCCATCTCTATCTAATGCCTTGACAAAGTTTTTCATTAGGCCCAACTTGATATGCAGTGGTGGTAATAATTTTTTTTTCGAATCTACTAATGGCATATGCTATACATTTGTTTGACCTGGCTCTAGGAATTGACGAACAGGCCAGTTTTGTCTGGTGTAATGAAGTGCCTTTGCCCGACTGTCCCATTCACACAAAAAACAGCAAAACTTTGTGTAGCCTAGCTGCAGCCCAAGTAAAAGTGCAACAACTTTCAAATCGGCACAAATATGCCATTGGTGCTCATCGTATTTTATGCATGTCAATAGTTACTTCATATTGTCATATGATTCTTTCATGTGAACTGCATACCCTACAGGAAGAGATGGTAAAATATTTCCAATATGCAATAACACTGCCTTTAAACTCAATGTTGAACTGTCTATAAACAATCTCCATTCTTCTGGGTTATAGTTTATATTTAAAGCCGCCAGTTAGCCGTTAATGTTACTGCAGAAAACCAAGTTATTCACCATATTGAAAAATGGTTCTAAGTCTTTGTGGCGTTTACGAAAAACACATACCGAAACATCGTCTTCTAACAAGTTCCACTGCTGCAGTCTTGATCCAAGTAACTCTGCCTTACATTTTGGAAGTTCTAAATCTCTTACAAGATCATTTAATTCTGACTGTTATTTTGTGCGATTGGTGGCATGACGTGCTCGGTATAAAATCAGGATCTCTTGACGTTGATGGCATATCTTCTTCCTGACGAATCACTCGATCGCCCTGATCTGATTCGTTTTCTGATTCGCAAGTGTAGGATTCTGGGGGTTTTGGAATAGGATTTTCGTCACTGTGAGGCACAGGTCTCATCGCAGATGGTATGTTTGGGTAGTTAATAACCGATTTTTTTTCCTTGGACATACCTGTGGCTTGTCCAACACAAGGTACCATGCAAAAGTAACAATCATTAATATGATTTGTAGGCTCTCTCCAAACCATTGGGACAGCAAAGCGCATAGACCGTTTTTTGCCATTTAACCAGCTCCTCAGACTTGAAGCACATGTATTACAGCAGATGTGGGGTGCCCACTGTTTGTCTTGATCACCTAGTTTACAACCGAAATAAAGCTGATATGCCTTTGTTATTAGTGGAGTAATAGACCGTCTCTGAGACGCAAAAGTCACATCACCACACACGTAACAAAACTGATCTGGATTGTTTACACACTTTCGAGACATCTTGCATGAACGCTGTCAGCCAACTGAGGAAAAAATGGCTAATATAAAACAATATAATGTACACGTATGTATAACGTAACACAATCATGTCGATTACATCATCTTTCCTTGCCGAATATAAAAATGTAGCACGTGCATTCTTGTGAATTACAGTATATTAACACTGTCACAGCAGGAACACATATAATTACCGTATCTCTAAAACTTGAACTAATATTGAAAAAATAAGTTTCATTCCGGGTTTAGCACATTAAAAATAGTAATATTTTGTTGATTTTATTTAGGATATTTTTTGGCTGTTGATCAGTGATTACCTATATGCGGTTTGGCAAGAAAACACTATGCTGCACATGCTAAGTGACAACGTACGCCTCTGTTGACGCGATGTGCCTTTGAGTGACTGCGGTCAGTTATGCAGCTCTCTTCCATTTTGGTACTTGAGTATAGTAAATATGTACAAAACTACTAGCTATTAAGAAAACAGTACAGATACATACCATGGATATTATAGAGTAGGTTAGCCCAAAAAGACAGCACTAAGAGTGATACCACATCTCCAATGCTAGCTGCCATTGGTGTTGCGAGATTGTCAGGGTTTAAGTTGATTTTGTGCGATATCACGATCACAGTTACTAGTACCAAATCTGAAATGAAGAGTAAATGATTGAGCTAGTGAAGTCAGATATACGATCGAACTTCATTCTATAGCCTAGGATTGCAACCAGTGACTTTACTCGTGGATGAGTGAATTTGGTGATCTACGTATTTGAACTTTTGTACCATTGATGAGTCAACTCATCGTGCAAATTCTGTTAGTGAATTACAAAGTTATGCGCTGTATTATTTCTTCATTTATTGGGTTTGAGTTAGTTTATTGTTCACCTAAGATGAAGCACGACATTGTCGCTGTCATGATGCTCGCTGTAGCTAGAAGGAGTGTATGTAGCCATTCGAAATTTCCATTCACAGCAGCTGAAGCTGATACGGCAAAGACTGAGACGATACAGGACGCCACTATAGATTGTATCTAAAACAGAAACATTGCGTTAAGTTCATTATTTTCACTGCTCGTAGGGCGCTAAAATGGCAACACTGTTTTCGTACATGTACAAAAAACATTCCGATAAGTGCAGATTTTGTCTCCTCATAGGGTGCAAAGATGGAAACACTGTTTTGTATATGTACTTCGACAATGTTGCCATTTTCATCTTTTCTGAAAATGGTCGTACCTGTACTAAAATCAGGTTACCAACGATCATCTTGAACAATTCCTTTTTCGATGTCATATTTCCTAAGTTGGCTTGAGTTGACAATCTGGACGCCAGACACATGTCTAGATTTCCTTTCAGTCCCAGAAGTGCTGGTACTAAGATGAAAAGAGATTTAATCTCGGCGAAAACTGGATATTTCTGAAAACAACAATTAGACACGATCAGGAAGCTTGTAAACACAAAACATGTAGTAGGTACACCAAATTTGTACTGTCGACAACTTATCACAGATAGATCAAGGTGTAACACCATCATTGGAAAAATGTATTTTGAAAGTTAAGAGTTTTTTGATTTGAGTTTTTTTGTAGTGTATCCTTTACACGTAATACTATTTTTGATTAACATTATTTATCAAGGAAGTATTTGCTCAATTATCGGCAGAAGTATGGAACCTGTCAGTTCACATCACAGATTATTTTATACCTCAAAGTACTACTACTATCTACAAATACCAGTTAAAAGTGACACAATAGCAGCAGTTATGAATTAAAAACTTGAGACCGTTCCTAACAGTACCTTTTGATCTCTTTGAATTTTGTGACGTCTCTAAGAGTGGGCAAAGATTTCTTAAAGGGGTCCAAAGTTTGTGAAACATATTATCATTTTTCGATGTTCTACAACTTTCTAGTTACCCTATGGCGTAGTCAAAACTTTTTGATGCGCAAAATCTCATATTCAATTCACTGGACAACAAATTTTAGTTTTTTAATTGTATCTTGTGGGAAAAGTGCACTTCTTTGTTAATTCAGGGGCGCTGAATCCAAAAATGACAATGAAATAAAAAAATTAGTTGCGGTTTAGAAAAAAAACTTTTTATTTTTAAGGATATATTAAAAAAAAGTAACAAGATTCATATACTTATAAGAATCACTATATGCGCTGTCTTTTTGCTGTTATTTTATGGATCGCTTCTGGAGCATCTCTACCAAGAGTCCAACAGTAGTCTGCAAGCATGGAAGGATTCCACTTTCCCTGGTACCTTTTTTCCATTGTTGAAATATCCTGATGAAAACGTTCGCCGTGCTCATCACTTACGGCTCCGCAGTTGTCAGGAAAAAAGTGCAGGTGTGAGTGTAGGAAATGTATCTTAAGAGACATATTACAGCCCATCTTTTGATACGATGACAGCATATTTTTGACAAGGGTTTTATAGTTGTCAGCTTTTCTATTTTCCAAGAAATTAGTGACCACCAGACGGAAATCATTCCAAGCAGTTTTTTCAATACCTGTTAAAGTGTTTTCAAACTGTGTATCTTTCAAAATATTTCGAATCTGTGGCCCAACAAAAATACCTTCTTTAACCTTTGCCTCACTTAGTCTTGGAAATTTCTGACGCAGGTATTGAAAAGCTGACCCATCTCTATCTAATGCCTTGACAAAGTTTTTCATTAGGCCCAACTTGATATGCAGTGGTGGTAATAAATTTTTCTTCGAATCTACTAATGGCATATGCTGTACATTTTTTTGGCCTGGCTCTAGGAATTGACGAACAGGCTAGTTTTGTCTGGTGTAATGAAGTGCCTTTGCCCGACTGTCCCATTCACACAAAAAACAGCAAAACTTTGTGTAGCCTAGCTGCAGCCCAAGTAAAAGTGCAACAACTTTCAAATCGCCACAAATATGCCATTGGTGCTCATCGTATTTTATGCATGTCAATAGGTACTTCATATTGTCATATGATTCTTTCATGTGAACTGCATACCCTACAGGAAGAGATGGTAAAATATTTCCAATATGCAATAACACTGCCTTTAAACTCAATGTTGAACTGTCTATAAACAATCTCCATTCTTCTGGGTTATAGTTTATATTTAAAGCCGCCAGTAAACCGTTAATGTTACTGCAGAAAACCAAGTTATTCTCCATATCGAAAAATCGTTCTGTCTTTGTTGCGTTTACGAAAAACACATACCGAAACATCGTCTTCTAACTAGTTCCACTGCTGCAGTCTTGATCCAAGTAACTCTGCCTTACATTTTGGACGTTCTAAATCTCTTACAAGATCATTTAATTCTGACTGTGTTATTTTGTGCGGTTGGTGGCTTGACGTGCTCGGTATAAAATCAGGATCTCTTGACGTTGATGGCATATCTTCTTCCTGACGAATCACTCGATCGCCATGATCTGATTCGTTTTCTGATTCGCAAGTGTAGGATTCTGGGGGTTTTGGAATAGGATTTTCGTCACTGTGAGGCACAGGTCTCATCGCAGATGGTATGTTTGGGTAGTTAATAACCGATTTTTTTTTCTTGGACATACCTGTGGCTTGTCCAACACAAGGTACCATGCAAAAGTAACAATCATTAATATGATTTGTAGGCTCTCTCCAAACCATTGGGACAGCAAAGCGCATAGACCGTTTTTTGCCATTTAACCAGCTCCTCAGACTTGAAGCACATGTATTACAGCAGATGTGGGGTGCCCACTGTTTGTCTTGATCACCTGGTTTACAACCGAAATAAAGCTGATATGCCTTTGTTATTAGTGGAGTAATAGACCGTCTCTGAGACGCAAAAGTCACATCACCACACACGTAACAAAACTGATCTGGATTGTTTACACACTTTCGAGACATCTTGCATGAACGCTGTCAGCCAACTGAGGCAAAAATGGCTAATATAAAACAATATAACGTAACACAATCATGCCGATTACATCATCTTTCCTTGCCGAATATAAAAATGTAGCACGTGCATTCTTGTGAATTACAGTATATTAACACTGTCACAGCAGGAACACATATAATTACAGGATCTCTAAAACTCGAACTAATATTGAAAAAATAAGTTTCATTCCGGTTTTAGCACATTAAAAATAGTAATATTTTGTTGATTTTATCTAGGATATTTTTTGGCTGTTGATCAGTGACTAAAAACGCTTAGAATGTTCTTATAGGTGCAATGTTAATCAGATGTTACCAATACGCCGAAAATAGGTACTGAGTTAACCTACTTGACTCCTTTAATAGCGAAAAATTGCCTTCGATTTGTTGTCTGCCCGCTAATCTTTGGCATCTCTAATTCGGAGAGCACTGACGAAATTTTGCCACAAAGTTATCACTATGACAAGAACGAAAGGACTTTTTAGGTGTAAATATAGTGACGGCAAAGTTACGTTCTAAAACGAAAATAATTAAAAAGCTAAAACGTCGTTTTTTGACGTTTCAGACTCCTGAACATATTTGAAATTCCATTGACACATATATTACGGGTGGAGGATTGTAGGAGCTGGGGGAAATTATATCCTTTTTTTTGAGTTAGTTAACCCGGTGATTCTATGCACTCAGATTTTCCTGTGCATTTGTCTTTAAAAGTAACAGAAATAGAAGACAAACATCGCGAGCTGCTGACGAATTCTACTCATCGCTACGTTGATTGCAGCGGCGTCAGATGGTCGGTAGGACAGAGAAAATATTGCTAGATCGTGACATTGTCAAATGGATGAGGTTTCCAATTTTATGGACCTGTTTGACTGACTTCATAGAATTAATTCCACGCTCATAGTTAACTCCTTTCTAAGAGTATGTAACTTACCGTGACTTCCGCCATGATGATACCGGCTCCGATCGTGCCAATCCCAGCGATGAAAAACGGGATGCATACTTGAACTGTTATGTGGTACCATTTCTCCTTTTCGATGTGTTCTTTTTCGTCCTGGAATGACTTGATCGACTCTCGCGGGAGACTTTGGAATTCTGTTGGTAGAGCTTCTACTTTGTCTAGGCCTAGAAAATCACAATGCTTTCAGAATCCAGGTAATTCGAAAACCTTGAAATCTTCGAAATCAAGTAACAGTTCTCAAGTGTATATTTCATGTGGAAACGGTATTTTTTTCAGTCACAATGCCTTTTTAGTTTGGCAGAATAAGCTCAAGAACGACAAAAATTGGTTTCATTGTTATTTGTGAACTAGTAGGCAAATTGCATTGGATGAATAGGATCTGGGCCAGTATTCTCGTTCTTCAAAACGCAAAGCGAATATACAGTAATGGACAAAAGTATATAGACAAATTAATATTGTGCTGTATTTCTATTTTAACTTGTCTTATTAATACACCAACCTGTACACATAATTCGTTATAGCATAATACTCACTTATACATAAATAAATTCCTTAGACTCCCTTCAATAAAAAATTAATTGAAAAAAACTGGAACTATGAACGACAGAGATATATAGACAAAACAATTATAGAAAAAAGAGGCTAAGTTCATTGAATTATAGAAAACCAACTATGTTTGTGTTAATATTTTGTAGCATAACCATTATTATCAATCACCGCCTGGCATCGTCTCGGCATAGATTGTTGTTTCTTGATATGAGATTAATCAATCTGTCTCCACTTTTGCATTTTCAATGGGGTTTATATCGGGAGACTGTGAAGGCCATTTGAGAAATGGTATTTTTTCATCCAGAAAGAATTTCTTTGCGAGGTATGAAGTGTGCTTCGGGTCATTATCTTGCTGAAAGATTGATCTTAAGGGCATATTGTCTTCCATATAGGGTAACATGACATGCTTTAGTATGTCTGTGTATCCAAACTTATCCATAATGCCATCTATTCTATGTAAAGATCCCATCCCAAGGCCCGAAAAGCATCCTCAAACCATAACAGACCCGCCTCCATGTTTGACAGTGGGCAACGTGTACTTTTGGTTCAATCTTTGTCCACTAGGACGTCTAATGCATTGGACACCATCTGATCCAAACATATTGAACTTGGATTTGTCACTGAAACATATCCTCTTCCAGTCTTGGGGTTTTAAATGGATCTTTGGACGAAATTACTGTTATTAATCTAACTGATCTAGCATTTAGTTTCGTAGGCCGACCCCTTCTCTTAGAGGCTTCCAAGATACCTTTTTGTTTATATTTGTTCAGTATTGCCCAAACTGCTTTACGCTTCAGCCTCAGATTTTTGGCGTCTTGACGTTGACCATCTTTGTATAACTCAATGATCTTAGTTTTCACATCGAAAGAAATTTCTGGACCACGCGGCTTGGTCTTAAAATCACTTAACTTATACCACAATACTTGATGAACACAAACTATCCTCTTCTGACACGAAACTGTACTAGACTAATGTTGAAAAGAATTTGTCTACGTATTTTTGTCCCTCTTAAAAAAGTGCTTATATTCAGACTTGTATTGTGTTCATTGCAGATAATGTAAAAACAAGGAATTTAGGTTTTCTACTAATAACGCATTTGTTTATGGAGCAATGAAGTATGAATTTTCTAAAGGTATTTAATTAAATATTCATATTTGTCTATATACTGTTGTCCATTACTGTATGTCATTTGCACTTTGCGCTTTTGGATGTGCTTGTAAAAATACGATAATCCCGTTTGTCCCACGATAAGCGTTTTTGGAAATTGCATGTCGACTTCAAAACTACTAATAAGTGACTGGTGTTTTGCTTATGGTTATCTGGGTTTTTATTCATCATCGGGATGATGTTTTGGTAGTTTTGGAATAGATTTCCAGTGCCTAGTGGCATACCAATTTACTGGCGTTAATTTAAGCAGAAATATCAAACTTATAAAAATTTTATTGTAAAATTATACTATCTGAGAAAATATGACGTGCAAAAATTGGAGGAAATGATGCAATCACCTTTATCAGTGTATTATAGATCGCACATGATAAGTACTCGAGCAAAAGCAAGTAACAATAATGAAGTACTTATACTGGCAGGCCTGACAAAAAATACGTGTAATAGTAATGATGATTTTATTATAAAATGATTAAATCTTCAACTGTCCCCCAGTTAATCTAGTATAGAGATGCTCATATAAATGTGGAATTATTTTCACAAGCTAACAAAACCTACACAATGTCAAAAAAACAGATAAAATTTCAATCTATCGACTAGATATACCTACTAAGTGACATATAAATCCGAACACCCAGTTTAAATGGTTTTATTTTAATAAAAGTTGGTGAATGTATTTATCTTACTGTAAATAACAAGTGAAAAAATTTTCAGCCTTATCAGTTGGACATTCCGGTTTTTATACTGCTTTTATTTTAATTCACTAACGCTCTAAAAATGAATATTTCTGCCGCAGTAAAGAATCAACGTTGGCGGATTTTGGTTCTTGACATCATTTACGATCGGTTACGATGCCTAGAGTACGGAGACCTGTACGATTTCGTCAACTTAGTGAGTTTGATAGGGGCCGTAAAGTGGGACTTCGGGAAGCTGGACTTTCTTTTCGGGCAATTGCAATTAGAGTGCAAAGAAGTGTAGACACTGTGGTTAAATGTTGTCAGGCATGGCTTCGAGAAGGCCGTACGCAAAGAGCAAGGGGCACTGGACGCCGCCGTAGAACAACAGACCGTGAAGATCGCCGCCTAAGATTATTGGCCTTAAGGGACCGTTTCTCCACTACCAGGTCCATTGCAAATGAATGGTTTGCAGAACACGGAAGACCTATTGGCATGCGAAGTGTTTACCGACGAATGAGAAGTTTTGACTTGTTTTCATACCGGCCACACTGGGTCCTCCCTTTAACTCGAGAACACCGACGTAATCGCCTTGAGTGGTGCAGACAACGGTCACTCTGGGATCAGGAATGGAACAATATTGTCTTCAGTGACGAGTCTCGATTTTGTTTAGGCATGCATGATGGTCGTGCCAGGGTTAGAAGGCGACGTGGTGAAAGGAGGAATCCACAGTTTTTTGTTGAAAGACATGTTCATCACACTGTTGGAGTTATGGTTTTGGGTGCTATAGCTTATGGTTCCAGGTCACCTTTAATCTTCATCAGAGGTAATATGAACGCGCAGCGTCATATCCACGAAGTTCTAGAACCCCATCTTTTACCCTATCTTGACACCCTGGCAGATCCAACTTTCCAACAAGATAATGCCCGACCACATGTTGCAAGAGTCACAATAGACTTCTTTCAACATAATTATGTCACATTGTTACCATGGCCACCAAGATCTCCCGACCTATCCCCAATTGAGCACGTGTGGGATATGATGGGTAGGAGATTGCTCAATTTGCAACGTCCTCCTCAGACTCTAGAAGCACTTCGAGAGGAGTTGGCGGTTGCCTGGAATGAGATACCACAGGAGGACATTGACCACCTGATCAGAAGCATGCCTAGGCGCATTGGAGAATGCGTAGCATATCAGGGTGCATCCAAACATTATTAAAGGTCAAAGGGCTTTAAAGCAGTGCAATCATTTTGAAATTTTTATCATTTACTTATTATGCTTCATTAAGTACTTATACAAAATTTTATTAAAATTAAACCATTTAAACTGGGTGTTCGGATTTATATGTCACTTAGTATAGGTATGCACCAATTTCAGGACCCATGTTGGCCATGAAAGCTAAGTTTTTTTATAAGGAAATTACAAAAAAAGATGATTTTGTGGCCAGCAAAGGATGGCTAGAACGTTTTTAAAGTCGTCATGGCATACGTTTAAATTAAGATTTTTGCAAAAGGTGAACGATTTAAATCTTAACCCGTCACAGGTGTACATGCAGACGAATCTGAGCTTTTTTGACGTGTGATGCCTAACAAAACCTTCGTTTCTTGTAACGAAAAATCCGTACCAGGACGAAAAGTAAGTAAAGAGCGTGTAACCATACTACCATGTGCTCACGCTGCGGGCACAGACGCGCTTAAGATGATGGTCATTGGGAAATCTAATAAACCACGGGCATGCAAAAACATTGGATTTACCTGTACACTATTACGGACAAAAAAGTGCATGGATGACAAAAGACCTTTTCAAAAAGTGGTTTGATGAATGCTTCGTACCTAAAGTTAGAAAATGGTTAATAGATCATAATTTTCCTCAAAATGCGTTGTTGCTTCTTGGTAACGCTCTCGGTCATCGGTCTGAAGAAGAACTAACAACTGAGGATAAATGCATGTTTCTTCCGCCAAATTGCGCTGCACTGATTCAACCAATGGACCAGAATATCATTCAGTTTGTCAAGCAAGACTATAAGAAACACCTACTTCTGAGAGCCGTATCAAAAGACCAACCAATAGAAAAAACTTTAAAAGAATTTAATATGAAAGACTTGGTTTTTGCTCTTTGTCAGTCGTGGAATTCGTTACCGCCTTCAAGTATTAAATCGTCTTGGAAAAAGTTATGGCCAGATATAGTCACCACTCCTAGCAAGGTTCCACAAATCAGTGTTACTTCGGAAGTTATAGAACAAGTCGCTACTGAAACACAGAGATAAGTCCGGAAGATTTGGAAGTCTGGTGCCGTGGAATGGATAAAGAGGAAAATGTTTTTCATGAAATGTTTGACGAAGAGATTATAAAAGACGTTTCTAATTATACAACAAACAATCAGGAAAATAACGACGACGTGATTGTAACTGCTCTACAAGTCACAGCACAAGACGCAATTAACGCCTTTGAGCTAGGTTTACAATGGGCTGAAGAGAATCGTACATCCTACAACGAACTTTTACTTTTGAGAAGACTGAGGGACAAAGCTCTGATCTCGCGTTATGACAACCCTAAACAAAACAAAAATTGATGAATATTTCCAAGCTTCATAATCTGATAAATTCATTAATGATTTTGATTAATAATTCTTGATTATTTTGGTACATACGTATGTGCATTTATGCTTAATTTTATAATAAAACGTAAGCCGTCTATTGTTATTTAATTTACTAAATTCGACATACATAAACTATGTATGATTTGTACTTCAAAGTACATACATATACATAACATATATAATCTTACCATTGGATATGTAATTTGTCGGATTACAAGGTTTTGTAAAAAATTCCGGACTATAGGGGGTTTTGGCAGTGCCCTATAATCCGACAAATTCGATAGTCCGACACTGCCCTGCATAATGTTTGTCGGATTACCGGAGGTCCACTGTACGGACAATTAAAGAAAAAAGTGATATTTTAGTTTAGTAAGTGAATACGGTGAATGTCGATCTACAATTTATGACATTAATAGGAACCACGACAAGATTACAATCTTAGTGTCAACTACTGACTCTACTCGTAGGCCAGGTAAAAGTCATACACTCAAGATAGCTGACCGTTCAGACGAGAAAGAAGCTTTGTACATGTGGTTTCTTCAGGTTAAAGACACAGGTATGCGCCCATTTTTTTACAAGGAAACAATGAAAAAAGATGACTTTGAGGCTAGCAAGCGATGGCTAGAATGTTTCAAAAGTCGTCATGGCATGCGTTCCTATATCGAACTTCTACTTTTGAGAAGGCTAAGGGTAAAAGCTTTGGTATGGCGCTTTAACAACTCAAACCAAACAAAAATTAATGCTTATTTAAATACTGTATAAATTGATTCGTAAATATTATCCTTTATATTTTTAGTTTGTGATTATTCGTAACATTCTGTGAAACACATATTTTTAGTACATATGAACATTTGTTTGAACATAATCATTTCCTAACGAAAATAAGTTTAGTTATTATATTTTGTATTTATACAGGGTGACTTTGAAGTTTACCTTGTTTTATAACGTATCCTCCCGACAAGTATTTCAGTGCGGACCTGTATTTGATCGTGAGGTCTTGGAGCACCGGCATGCCGTCCCCTGTGAGGTCTTAAGTCACCTGATTCACGAGCCCGTTGTACTACATTAACAAAGGCACGAGGGGTTGGTTGCACTCGATTGGGAAACCGATCCGCATAAACATGTGCCATTTTTGATTTCGTTTGAGCCACGCAACAGATACCACTATTCACTCACGCGTTACCGACTGACACTGACTGTATACAACTGAATAAAATAATTGTAAAAACATCGTTCCAAATTCTTTCGCTTTTTTGTTTCCGATGCGATGAACCGATAAGGCGGATTATATTATATCCGTTGTTGCCAAACACGAGCACATAATATTATTATTGAGACAGACTCACAAAGAAACCTAACCTATCTAATAAATACCGAATGCCTCTTCAATAAATCCATTAAGTTACGAAATAATTTTTGCGAACAAGACAGTTAAAGACCAGTTACTCACCGTAGATGGTGTAGATTCCTGGGCCGTTGATCTCGCTGATCTTCTCGGGCTTCTTCATCTTGATGTTTTGCTTCATGGATTGAAAATTTTAGTGAATCTGAAACTGAAACGACCAATGAACGCATGCCGCGTTTGATATCGCGAACGAATTCGGAGAACATTCTGCTGAAAATTTTCAACGTCAATAATGATAGCTGCGATTAGTGAAAAATTGAGACAACGTGAAAGCAGTAAACGTTACAACGGATGTTTATGGGACTCATAACTTGAATCGTTTCGCTGTTCCGTAATTATAATTATATGTTTTTGATTGCTGTGAAAGTTTGATGGAGTATTTGTTAATTTTTAGATTCCATATAGCAAGAATTGTCGCCTATACCAGTTAGCGACGTATTGTAATCGCGAAAATCAGATATGTATTTTAGATGTTATATGACATTTACATCACGATTAATTTTTATATCAAGGGCAAAAAGGTTTGTAGATGAAATGAAAAGAAATAAAAATCGATGAAACTTTCTTTTTTGACGTTTCAGGGGCTCTTGTTTATTTTATTGGATTTTATGTTGGATAAAAAATTAGGGGTGGGGATGTCATAATATACATTGAGCGCGCGCTTGAGTAATAATGAAAAAACAAAGCTTTACAATACCACTACTCGCTAGCAACTTTAGAAACATTAAACCTTTAGTTTTTTCATATTTCACACTATTCCAAATATTAAAACTTTATCTGGAGGGAACCAATAGTGAATGTGATTCAAATATTAATAAATAAAATGGTATGCCTTTATTTTCACTATCATTGGTTGTCAACCTGTCAGTTTGATGTTTGATCAATTGGAAAGAATATAGTTATTTATCGGGTTGTTTTTACAGTTCTTTTTGTTATACTCAAACTCGACAGCAAACTAACCAAAACGCGATCAAATGACATGTCAGGGATGCTGACATCACTGCGAGGCGGTCAAATATGCGGCCTTTAAATTACGTCCTTGGCGTTGCAGAATGTTAAATGGAGCCACTAAACATTTTTGGAATTTGTCTAAACAATTATTTACACAATATTTGACGCAATTTTGGGCCTGGTAACACTGGACAACAAATTTTAGTTTTTTAATTGTATCTTGTGGGAAAAGTGCACTTCTTTGTTAATTTTGGGGCACTGAATCCAAAAATGGCAATGAAATAAAAAAATTAGTTGCGGTTTAGTAAAAAAACTTTTTATTTTTAAGGATATATTAAAAAAAGTAACAAGATTCATATACTTATAAGAATCACTATATGCGCTGTCTTTTTGCTGTTCTTTTATGGATCGTTTCTGGAGCATCTCTACCAAGAGTCCAACAGTAGTCTGCAAGCATGGAAGGATTCCCTGGTACCTTTTTGCCATTGTTGAAATATCCTGATGAAAACGTTCGCCGAGCTCATCACTTACGGCTCCGCAATTGTCAGGAAAAAAGTCCAGGTGTGAGTGTAGGAAATGTATCTTAAGAGACATATTACAGCCCATCTTTTGATATTTATGACAGCATATTTTTGACAAGGGTTTTATAGTTGTCAGCTTTTCTATTTCCCAAGAAATTAGTGACCACCAGACGGAAATCATTCCAAGCAGTTTTTTCAATACCTGTTAAAGTGTTTTCAAACTGTGTATCTTTCAAAATATTTCGAATCTGTGGCCCAACAAAAATACCTTTTTTAACCTTTGCCTCACTTAGTCTTGGAAATTTCTGACGCAGGTATTAAAAAGCTGACCCATCTCTATCTAATGCCTTGACAAAGTTTTTCATTAGGCCCAACTTGATATGCAGTGGTGGTAATAATTTTTTTTCGAATCTAATGGCATATGCTGTACATTTTTTTGACCTGGGTCTAGGAATTGACGAACAGGCCAGTTTTGTCTGGTTTAATGAAGTGCCTTTGCCCGACTGTCCCATTCACACAAAAAACAGCAAAACTTTGTGTAGCCTAGCTGCAGCCCAAGTAAAAGTGCAACAACTTTCAAATCGCCACAAATATGCCATTGGTGCTCATCGAATTTTATGCATGTCAATAGGTACTTCATATTGTCATATGATTGTTTCATGTGAACTGGATACCCTACAGGAAGAGATGGTAAAATATTTCCAATATGCAATAACAATGCCTTTAAACTCAATGTTGGACTGTCTATAAACAATCTCCATTCTTCTGGGTTATAGTTTATATTTAAAGCCGCCAGTAAGCCGTTAATGTTACTGCAGAAAACCAAGTTATTCTCCATATTGAAAAATAGTTCTGTCTTTGTGGCGTTTACGAAAAACACATACCGAAACATCGTCTTCTAACAAGTTCCACTACTGCAGTCTTGATCCAAGTAACTCTGCCTTACATTTTGGAAGTTCTAAATCTCTTACAAGATCATTTAATTCTGACTGTGTTATTTTGTGCGGTTGGTGGCATGACGTGCTCGGTATAAAATCAGGATCTCTTGACGTTGATGGCATATCTTCTTCCTGACGAATCACTCGATCGCCATGATCTGATTCGTTTTCTGATTCGCAAGTGTAGGATTCTGGGGGTCTTGGAATAGGATTTTCGTCACTGTGAGGCACAGGTCTCATCGCAGATGGTATGTTTGGGTAGTTAATAACCGATTTTTTTTTTCTTGGACATACCTGTGGCTTGTCCAACACAACGTACCATACAAAAGTAACAATCATTAATATGATTTGTAGGCTCTCTCCAAACCATTGGGACAGCAAAGCGCATAGACCGTTTTTTGCCATTTAACCAGTTCCTCAGACTTGAAGCACATGTATTACAGCAGATGTGGGGTGCCCACTGTTTGTCTTGATCACCTAGTTTACAACCGAAATAAAGCTGATACGCCTTTGTTATTAGTGGAGTAATAGACCGTCTCTGAGACGCAATAGTCACATCACCACACACGTAACAAAACTGATCTGGATTGTTTACTCACTTTCGAGACATCTTGCATGAACGCTGTCAGCCAACTGAGGAAAAAATGGCTAATATAAAACAATATAATGTACACGTATGTATAACGTAACACAATCATGCCGATTACATCATCTTTCCTTGCCGAAGATATAAATGTAGCACGTGCATTCTTGTGAATTACAGTATATTAACACTGTCACAGCAGGAACACATATAATTACCGTATCTCTAAAACTTGAACTAATATTGAAAAAATAAGTTTCATTCCGGTTTTAGCACATTAAAAATAGTAATATTTTGTTGATTTTATTTAGGATATTTTTTGGCTGTTGTGTAAGTGTAACATGTACATTCTTTATGAATAAGATTCCACAAAAAATTGTTTCAGAATATTTTCCAGGTGGATGGGAAGGTATCCGTAGGCTAAATACGAATCATATCCATTTTAGCCTGTCCATCTAGACATTTCAACAACTACTCGTCATATGCAAAACTTTTAGACAAAACTTAAGGGGTTTCGAGAGGAAAAATGGCTGTGACCTTGACAATGACAGTGACAACGACCTTCGAGCTCATTTCAAGTTCAAGTGAATATTTTCAAATAGAACACTCCCTTTTTACATCGGAAATGAAAAGAGTAGGGCATTCTACGTCCAAATATGACCATCACCATGTCTGTTTTCTTCAAGGTCATTTCAAAGTCAAATCAAGACAGTAAAAACAATTTTGTCTAACAAAAATGTTCGACAGCACAGTTGTAAAGCTTGTGGGGATCACCGAAAGATGACCTTCACCATGACCTTCAAAGTAAAGTCAAAATTTCCACATGAAACATGTCATTTATAATCTGAAAATGGAAAAAGTAGTAAATTCGAATGTAATCTTGATCTTGAAATCAAGATCCTTAATGTTATGTGAGGTCAAGCTCATATACGGATGTATATTTTCTTGCGTTTCCATGTCCAGTATAAGTCAAGATAGGGTCATGGTGATGATCATTTCTTCCACTTTTCAATTCCTTTTTAAAAAAGGGGACGTTATATTTGAAAATATTCGCTTCACCTTGAAATGACCTTGAATGTCGTGGTAAAGGTCATTATCAAGGTCATCTCGATACCCTACAAGTCTTGTTTGAAACTTTTTTCTAGGATGCATAGTTTTCGAAATATTCAGATAATGTGATTAAAATGCGACACGCTGTATAACAGAATCGCCATTTCTTCTCGATTGACATATTGACATGCCATATTCACAGTATCAATTTCAACTGAAGTAACGTTCACATTTTTATTCAAACACTCGACATTGATTCGCAAAATGCCGCACAGAGTTCAGCAAACCTACCTGGAGACAAAATCAGGGACAGACCTTCGTCGAATAACCAAGAGTGGGCTTATCAGAATGGCCAACGAAGCCATGTTGGATGTGAGTAAACAGAAGAGGGAGCAAGATAGACAGCGGTTGAACAAACTTATAGTTCAAAGAATGCGGGAAGAGCTTCCCGTTTACACTATCCAAGAGATTCGTATGCACCGATTGCCTTATTGGGAAGCGATGATGATAGAAATGGAAGAAAAAGGTTACAAGAAAACTATAGAATACATTAATAAGATATTCAAGGTAGAGGAATGCAATGACCAATTTATATTAAAAGCCAGCAAAAATGAATTAGAAAAGCTGTTCAATTTTCTCAAAATACATGAAATGTATTTGAACCAAGACGTCTGTTCTAAAGCCTGCAGGGAGTTCTTGAAATGTGGGATATACTTCGCATTTTTGCATAAAGACTGGTGGTGGCTGGGCGAACGAATGTTATTAGATTCTATTGATATGTGTTTCCAATACCAAGCCAAAAAGTACGAGGCTTTCAGTCGATTCTCTTACGCAAAGTTCAAAATTGAAAACCTAAAGGACTTTTCTGTAGAAGATGAGTTAATTGTAGCGAAAGAAATGAGTGCGACTGAACCTTGGGTGGTGAAAATACTGTTTCCGGATATGAAAGACACTCTGTTCATGCAGATTTGTCTTTTGTTATACAGATGCTTCATGAGAAAAGCTAGGCAGTGGGTAAATACCCATCCGAAAGAAGCGCTGGTGCTCGCAACTCAAGCCAAACGGAATGCTGGATCTGCTTGTTACAAAACGGGAGAGATGGAGGCTTCTTTGATCAAAGCTGCATGTGAAATTAATTTGAACAGACCTAGAGAAGCTGTAGCTACCTTGAACTGCACCTTGACTCAGCAGACATCGATCAAATCTCACGAAGGCGTGTGCAAAGTGAAGGCTGCACTTGTGAAGGCACATCTTTGCAACAACGATGTTGATTCTGCGTTCTTGACACTGAACGATTTGAGGGACCTAACCAAACGGTACAATGTACTGATGTATTTGGCGGTAGCATATAAAACGCTAGGAGAATATTACATCGAGAAAGGCGAACCTGGCATTGCAGACCCTTTCATCACAGAAGCACTCCTTATTCTTGAGCAATGCGATACGAAAGAGTTTTCTGCAGATATTCTTTTCATGAAGAACCTGGAAGCTATTGCTAAGGGTTTGGAGCTAATGCCCGGCTTCATCAAACATATTCGCCAATCTGAGGAACCGGGGCCGGAGCAAGAGTTAAGCTTATCGTTGTTGATAGATTGGAAAAACGAAAGAAAGCCTTTCTGGCATGTTTCAGTGGGAGAAATGCGCCGAAGATCTTCAGAGCAGTCGAGAAGTATGTTGCACGATACCTCCATGAGAATCAAGCCTCTTGATCTGATGGATGCTTCCGCGAAATTGCAGAATGTAGAGAAGAAGTTGGCGAAGTTGATGCATGATCAAAACGAAACGCCTGTCATTGAACCGATCTCAAAAAAGGTTTAGGCGTCCTCCGTTTCTGCGTCAGAACCACGGTCAGAAGCTATCGAGTCACCTAAGATCTGAATTGTGCAATATTTTATTTTTAATGTAAGATTTATCTACAACCTTACAATATATGGAACGGACGCAGGAAAGTAAACGCATATTAAAACAAGAAAGATTGATATTCAAATCAAGTTGGGTACTTTATGTTGAAGGTTTATTTATACCATTTATGTATGAAAAATAATATCGCTCAAATGTTCACCACGACTGGATTTACAGACGTCCACGCGATGGTCGAAATTTTCAATGACATTTTGCAACGTGGTCGGTTCTATGGCATTTATCTCGGCAATGATGTTGTTTTTGAGTTCTTGGAGGGTGGCTGGTTTGTTGACGTAGACTTTGCTTTTCAAATATCCCCATAAAAAGAAGTCCAAGGGAGTCAAATCGCACGATCTTTGTGGCCATGGCACATTTCCTCTGCGCGAAATCACGCGATCACCGAAGAAGGACTGCAATCGATGGATATTGACGTTGGTTGTGTGGCATGTTGCACCGTCTTGTTGGAAATAAACATCGTCCATATCCATTCCTTCAAGTTGCGGCAAAAAATAGTCCTCTATCATCACGAGATATCTCTCAGAATTGACGGTAACGGCGTCCCCGGCCGCATTTTCGAAAAAGTAAGGTCCGATGATGCCTTTTGACCACAATGCACACCACACAGTCACTTTTTGAGGATGCATCGGCTGCTCTTGATACTCACGGGGATTTTCGTTCGCCCAGATGCGGCAGGTTTGCTTGTTTATCGTCCCATTCAAAGTGAAATGCGCTTCGTCGCTGAACATGATTTTTGATGTAAAATTGGCATCAATTTGGCGGTGTTCAAGGAGCCAATCTGAGAACGTTCGGCGCCAAAAATGGTCGTCACGACGCAGCTCTTGCGTCAATTGGATCTTGTAGGCGTGGACATTCAAATCCTTGTGGAGAATGCGGAGCAAACTGGTTCTCGAAATGCCCAATTCTTGGGATCGACGCGTTGTTGATTGTTTCCGATCGTCTCTCATACTCTCCTTCACAACAGCAATATTTTCCGGTGTGCGAACGCTCCTTGGCCGGCCAAAGCCTGGCAGATTTGCCACAGAACCTGTTGCCTCGAATTTACGCACCAGACGACCGATGGTTGTTTCGTTTGGGCGGTTGTTGCGACCGAAATGTTCACGAAGCGCGCGAAACGTGTTTTTTATTTTTGCACCATTTTTGTAGTGCTCTTGAATAACTTTAATGCGGTCTTCAATCGAATACGACTCCATAGCGATCAATGGTAAACGTTCAACTAACAAAATGACATCTCGGTGACAGAAAACAAAGATGGCGTCTATGTCAAATTGACGTTTACTTTCCTGCGTCCCTATTGGACAACCTTTTACATAATATGTACAACAGACATCTAATTTTGACTTATTGTATTATTTGGAAAATGAGATATGTTTTTTGGATGTACTATCACTGAAAACCATGTCAGTCATTTCCGCCAATCTGTCGGTCGTTCTGTCAATCAACGAAGTAATGGAAGTGGATGAAATTTATCATGTATTTGAAAGGTGATACGTGGAATGATTATAATAGTTCGCCTTGCAAACAAAACATTGTTGACAGTACCTTCGCTATGACAGACTGTCAAACTTGTGGTAAGTCATTTGTTATAACGGTTTTGGGGTGAAACCCTTGACGTTCCACATTATTCGCAGTGTTTTGTTTTGAACAATCGAATTTAATCTGGAATACAGTGTGTTTCACAACTTATCCGACAAATTTTAACCACATCCACTGTTACAAAAGAAGTTGATTTAAAAAAAAATGTAATAAAAGTCCTACAGAAATTGAGTTATATACCCGAGCTTTAATAATAAATTGAAAAATAAATATCTGTATCTGGCGTTCATCGTCGTGATATTAAAACACGCATTAATAACACTGGACAACAAATTTTAGTTTTTTAATTGTATCTTGTGGGAAAAGTGCACTTCTTTGTTAATTTTGGGGCGCTGAATCCAAAAATGACAATGAAATAAAAAAATTAGTTGCGGCTTAGAAAAAAACTTTTTATTTTTAAGGTTATATTAAAAAAAGTAACAAGATTCATATACTTATAAGAATCACTATATGCGCTGTCTTTTTGCTGTTCTTTTATGGATCGTTTCTGGAACATCTCTACCAAGAGACCAACAGTAGTCTGGAAGCATGGAAGGATTCCACTTTCCCTGGTACCTTTTTTCCATTGTTGAAGTATCCTGATGAAAACGTTCGCCGTGCTCATCACTTACGGCTCCGCAATTGTCAGGAAAAAAGTCCAGGTGTGAGTGTAGGAAATGTATCTTAAGAGACATATTACAGCCCATCTTTTGATACGATGACAGCATATTTTTGACAAGGGTTTTATAGTTGTCAGCTTTTCTATTTCCCAAGAAATTAGTGACCACCAGACGGAAATCATTCCAAGCAGTTTTTTCAATACCTGTTAAAGTGTTTTCAAACTGTGTATCTTCCAAAATATTTCGAATCTGTGGCCCAACAAAAGTACCTTCTTTAACCTTTGCCTCACTTAGTCTTGGAAATTTCTGACGCAGGTATTGAAAAGCTGACCCATCTCTATCTAATGCCTTGACAAAGTTTTTCATTAGGCCCAACTTGATATGCAGTGGTGGTAATAAAATTTTTTTCGAATCTACTAATGGCATATGCTGTACATTTTTTTGACCTGGCTCTAGGAATTGACGAACAGGCCAGTTTTGTGTGGTGTAATGAATTGCCTTTGCGCGACTGTCCCATTCACACAAAAAACAGCAAAACTTTGTGTAGCCTAGCTGCAGCCCAAGTAAAAGTGCAACAACTTTCAAATCGCCACAAATATGCCATTGGTGCTCATCGTATTTTATGCATGTCAATAGGTACTTCATACTGTCATATGATTCTTTCATGTGAACTGCATACCCTACAGGAAGAGATGGTAAAATATTTCCAATATGCAATAACACTGCCTTTAAACTCAATGTTGAACTGTCTATAAACAATCTCCATTCTTCTGGGTTATAGTTTATATTTAAAGCCGCCAGTAAGCCGTTAATGTTACTGCAGAAAACCAAGTTATTCTCCATATTGAAAAATGGTTCTAAGTCTTTGTGGCGTTTACGAAAAATACATACCGAAACATCGTCTTCTAACAAGTTCCACTGCTGCAGTCTTGATCCAAGTAACTCTGCCTTACATTTTGGATGTTCTAAATCTCTTACAAGATCATTTAATTCTGACTGTGTTATTTTGTGCGGTTGGTGGGATGACGTGCTCGGTATAAAATCAGGATCTCTTGACGTTGATGGCATATCTTCCTGACGAATCACTCGATCGCCATGATCTGATTCGTTTTCTGATTTGCAAGTGTAGGATTCTGGGGGTTTTGGAATAGGATTTTCGTCACTGTGAGGCACAGGTCTCATCGCAGATGGTATGTTTGGGTAGTTAATAACCGATTTTTTTTTCTTGGACATACCTGTGGCTTGTCCAACACAAGGTATCATGCAAAAGTAACAAACATTAATATGATTTGTAGGCTCTCTCCAAACCATTGGGAGAGCAAAGCGCAGAGACCGTTTTTTGGCATTTAACCAGCTCCTCAGACTTGAATCACATGTATTACAGCAGATGTGGGGTGCCCACTGTTTGTCTTGATCACCTAGTTTACAACCGAAATAAATCTGATATGCCTTTGTTATTAGTGGAGTAATAGACCGTCTCTGAGACGCAAAAGTCACATCACCACACACGTAATAAAACTGATCTGGATTGTTTACACACTTTCGAGACATCTTGCATGAACGCTGTCAGCCAACTGAGGAAAAAATGGCTAATATGAAACAATATATGTACACGTATGTATAACGTAACACAATCATGCCGATTACATCATCTTTCCTTGCCGAATATAAAAATGTAGCACGTGCATTCTTGTGAATTACAGTATATTAACACTGTCACAGCAGGAACACATATAATTACCGTATCTCTTAAACATGAACTAATATTGAAAAAATAAGTTTCATTCCGGTTTTAGCACATTAAAAATAGTAATATTTTGTTGATTTTATTTAGGATATTTTTTGGCTATTGATCAGTGTAATCTATTGTAGCAAATATTGTACCAAACAACTAACGAAAACAATATACCAGGATTTCTTTGTTTTTTCGTACTGATAAGAACGTGTAAATAAATTTTAATCTGTATCGTGGGTGATCTGAATGAAGAATGGTCGACTTTTGTGAAGTTAAATAAGAAAGTATTTTACTAGTTTATATTTTTAGTTATTTATTAATAAAAATGTCATATGTGTATACCAATGAGGAGTTAGTGGACATTGTTTTGGCGTACGGAGAAGCAGCGCAAAATTCGCAAGCGGCTTCTCGTTTGTATGCACACCGATTCCCGAATAGGCACATGCCACATCACCAAACATACAGTTCATTTGTTTTACGTGCACGCGCTAGTAGAGATTTGCGCCCAAGCTTGCATTGCGGTTAATGGAAAAATTTTGAACAGCTTTTATAAGTAACAGTTAAACTGTATTATTTTATTATCTCGATTTCTGTAGGACTTTTATTACATTTTTTTTGGGAAATCAACTTCTTTCGTAACAGTGCATACGCGGTTAAAATTGGTCGGATAAGCTGTGAAACACCATGTATAATAAACATATGTCCTGATTACACTGGTCAACAAAATTTTAACTTTGTCGTGCCACACGGACTTTTTTGATATTTTTTACTTTAATTGGTGATTGTAAGAAAAAATAAACAGTTAAAAAAAATTTGCTAGACAAGGATTTTATTCTATTGAGTAATTTAAAATATCAAGAAAAAACACAGATCTCGTAAATCAAAAGTTATTTTTTTTATAAATGACTTAATAATCTAAGATTTTCTTGAATATTTAGCTTCTGGTTCGTCCCTTTTAATTGTCCAGC